GATTTTGATTTTGAAATCGGGAATTCGGATTTTGCGGTAAAACACGTCTTTCAACGCTGGGAATTTCATCCTCAAAGTGGATCTCAATTAAGAAATCCAACTCCCGCTCTCATTGATTTCTATATGTTTTGCGTTTTTCCGAGAAATCCAAAAAGGATCTCTTCTAGGAGGGGTTTCAATGAGGTTAACCGTTGGCTAGAAAACGAAAAAAAAAATTAGCTCTGGATTTTTTTATGAAAATCCATCTTGAGGACAGATTTTTCATTATCAAAATCCGTTTTTGCTTTTCATTTTTAACTACAAAATCTGTATTTCAAAATTTTATTCGGATTTACCGATCGAAAGCACCCAGAACTTTAGAGCCATTTTCCCAGTATTACACAAGTATTCGCAGTTATTTTGGACTCTTTTAAGGCTTTTCGACTATCTAATTAAGGCCATCATCAGCTACAAGTTTCTTCAAAATTGGTTCATCCATGTTTAGCCTACGTGTAGCCGTACTTAGCGGGGGGAGGGTACGGCTACACGTTGGTTAATCCATGTCTCCACTTTCTGGGAAATTTTCTTACTGACAATAACACTTGAGATAGTCAAGAGAAAATAATGGCCTTTATTCTCTCTTGAAACATTTAGCTCATTCTTGTGATTCACTTTCAAAAAAATGGATTTGAGTGATGTACACAGATAAGCCGATAGACAAGGTTTAAAAGAACTGATCTAACTATTATAGACTTACCTCTTTGATGATCATTGGTTTGATGACAGCAGTGGAAAGACAACAATACTGTCTATTCTTCTTAAAGGATCTGTTACCGAGTTATTTCTTTCTTTGCTTATAAAAGTGTATCTAAAAATTACATCTCTACTTCCGTGTTTCAGATTTCAAAGCCAAAAAAATTCAAGAGTTAAGAAGTTGACTATCGACGCTGCCATTTTCAAAATCAACATAGTAATCTGGCCGCAAGCTATCGACTCGCGAAAACCGCGTCGAGCGCTTCACAAGCAGCAGCTACTCTGACCTTAAAAAAGAAAAGGTCAATATTCGCATCAAAAATATAAAGTTTTTGTGGCATCTAATTGTTAAGGCAGATCATCATTGGGGGACAAAGCGTGGTCAATGTCATCATTTCATAATGATACACTTCTCCGCATTAGCTAAGATGGAAATTATATGGTTTTTGGAACTGGTGATTGAATTTCCATTCAGCTGATACCCTTAAGCTGGTAAGAGAAATCTGAAAATCATAAGGCACAGTCAATGTCATTATCTTATTATAATGTACTTCTTACTACCTTAAACGAAAATTATATGGTTTTTAAAACTGGAGATGGAATTTCCATTCAGTTGATATCCTAAGCTGGTTAAAGGAAATCTGAAAAGAAAATTCCCTCACAACAGGGCTCCTCTTCACATATCTTCAAACACAAACAAACAATTTAGAAAGAAAATATGAAAGTAGTTATTCTTTGGAAAGTGGTGACATGTAGTCTTAGATTGAGCAACGAACCGAACGAGCCGGAAAGATTTAATTGAGGAAGTTGTAAATGAGGGTACTACACATGAAACCAAAGTCGACCGAGAGATCATGAAGTAATAATGATTTATTTATAAAGCAAAACCTTTTTTTTAACTCTGACACTAGGTCAAGGGCCTCAGTTGAGAACAAAAGCTGTAGAAGTCTATGAAGAAGTTTCTCAAATATGGCTCAAATGAATTTGTGTATTAGCATTTTTCAAGCTTCTTCTTTGCCATTGCTAAATTGACCACGACGTTTTCCCAGAAACCATCTTTATGCCCTGGAAAAAAAATTAAATCTATTAGAAAGTTAGTAGCCCACTGGCATGTATATCTACATGCAACTCGTCTTTTACTGTATTAATTCCCCTCCCCCTTTTTGCTGTTTTTCTTCCCGTTATACTCTTTCCCTCATCCTCGACTTAAGAGCCTGAAAGGTCAGAAGCCATTGTCGCTTTTGCAAACTTTATAGCTTTTCTTCGTCAAGGAAAAAAATCAAGTATGAAAAAAGCTCAGCGATACTGAGTTTTCTTGCACATACCGTAATGATTCGTGCTCCGGGCGCAATTAGCGCCCGGAGCACCTATTAACTGTTGATGCCTAGAGGGAGGGCGCTAATTCGAAACGGGGCGCTTTTAAGGGAGACGGCACTATTTAATTCTCGGGAAACAACAAATTATGCCAAAAAAAGCTTTGACGTTTGTTTGAATAGGATCAAGAAGACTGGTGAACGGACATGCTGTCCCTGGAGCGAGATCATTCGTTTGAAGGAACTGTGCACACACATGGACATTATAGTTGAGAGACTGAGACGAAGACCACTGTTTTCGTATAATAAGGTTTGAAGTAAGTGATTAAGCAATTAAAGGAAGATGAACCACCTTCACCCTGAATGTGCAGGTACACTAACATTATTATCACTGAAACAGAATAGTGCCGCTAATTGGTATAGGGGCACTTATCGCAATGAGGGTGTTTCACACTCGACAGGGGTGATTATAAGAACAGCGGCGCTCATTAACAAAAACGAATTCGAGGGAGGCGCTTATTAGAGGAGGTGCTTACAGACATACATACATCTTTATTTTACAATGCAGGTTATGAAAATTGGCAAGAACGAAGTCCTGATGTGGACCTGCCTAACTACAGCTAATTAAATATTGTCACATTAGGTAAGGATAAAAATATAAGTGAACGAGATATAAATTTCTTCTTAAATACAATAATGATTAGATAAATTTAGATGTGATCATTATAAATAATAAATAAATATCTAAAAATATAGGAAATCATCATTTTTCATTGAAACACAGAAGGAAACTCTGGCAAAATTTATGCTATTTAGTAGATGTTTCTTCGCATTCAGCTTAATCTTAAAAGATCTTAAAATTGCACAGTCTTTGACATGATGCAGAAGAAGGTTCCATGCCAACGCAGCCCTGTGTTTAAAAGAGGACCTGCCAATTTCAGATCTTGGTCTTGGCACTTCTATATTTAAAGAATTCCTTAAACTGTAATTGGGTTTTGCCTTAGAGAGGAGAATATTCAGTTCCTCTGTATTTGAACCATGATAGGATTGGTAGGTCACAACCAGCAGCCTCTTTACATAATATGGAGGGAGGTGCTTATTAGAGAGGGTGCTTATTAGAGGGGGTGATTATCAGAGGGGGTGATTATCAGAGGGGGTGATTATCAGAGGGGGTGATTATTGGAGGGGATGCTTATTAGAAAGGGGGTGCTTTAACCCTTTCACTCCCAAGATCTAATTAGTAATTCTCCTTACTATCTGCCATACAATTCTTATGATGTTAGTTCAGAGAATTTGGTATTGGATCAACTAATAATCCCATGATTGATATTCTCCTCTATTCTCATCACCTGCCTGCTTGATATTGTATTGACACTGTAAGGAGAAATTCTGTCTTGGTCACTTGCATCAAATCAAATCATTATGGTGCTGATCAGTGGAACCTGTTTAAACAGTAAGAAAAGCTATTGATTTTAACAGTTGACTCAAAAGTTCATGCTTAAGTATTACTCACTTGTTTAGGTGTAGCATCCTTTGTAATAATTCTTTGAAACATTGTCATTTCATCAGTCATCCACTTTGTTCCTACATTTCTTAATGGCCATTTCTTGCTCTTCCTGTTTCTGCAACACGTCCTGAGCTGATTTATACATGTCCTAAAGGGAATCCAACTGTTTTTCATCTTCTGTGAAAGTATCATAAGGGCAATTCTGTCTGTTGTGGTTCTTCAAGCTCACAGTGTTAATCAATCAACTTTCCAGAATAGTGAGTGATTCCAATGGTACTTATTTACTATGCTCTGTAACTTGTCTGTAGAACCTCAGTAATTTGTGAAATATTAAACAAAAAAAAACCAGTCACCACAGAGCTAGCAATGTTTACCAGTGATGCCCTTGGTTATCTGAAGTGAGAATCCTTATCCACAACTTGTGATATTTTGGACACAGGCATTAGCCAGTTGGCTTTTTACAAAGCGCAAGCTAGGAGTTAAACTAAGGGCAACCAAAAACAAATCCAGTGAACAACAGAGTAAAGAGTTGAACCCAGGACCGCAAGAGTACAAGTCCAGCGCCCTAACCTCTCCACCACAATGTCTCCAATAATGCTGGCAAAATTCATGTGAATGTCACATGTACAATAATATTCAACATATTTCAAGATACAAGGTGTAGTAAAATTAACGTCCAAGGAGAACAATAAAGAACATTGAAACTATTTAGCAACTGGGCTTGAACTGAGTCTAATTGAGCACTAGGATTAAAACACCTATCATTCAAAATGAGACCGTCCATGTGTCAGAAAAGTCATGTTACATGCATTATATTTTACTCTATCTTTTCTCATTGCTGGGTTCTTCTCCTAGTTTTACATTAATTGAAAAAAGAATGGTATCTACTTGTCATTCTCAACAGCGATTTTCCTTTACTTAATAGTCACAGACAGATCGTGTCACCAAAAATTTTAGAACAGATTACCCAATAATTTTTATTTTTGCCTTTATGAAGTAGCTTCCTTAGAAGAAGTTCAAACAAATCTAGCATGTTGTCCATTGCACCCAAACTTTTGCTGCTTAAGTCATCACAGCATCATTATCATTATCACTTCAATCTGCCTTTAAAAACTTCAGCATTTAATTATCTCATGCCATGAAAAAAAATTCACTCAAATGACTGGATTAGTTTGGCCACTGCTTACCCTAATTAATAAAATTAACTAACCCCCATTTTTCTTGCCTTGATGAGCCCAGAAGAAAACTCCATGCAGTTCAACCAATTCTTAGTGTCTTGATTTAGAGTTAAAATGCATGAAAACATTAGGGTGATTCCTCAGTTTATCAACGCATATCCTGTGATGTGCATTAAAATCATGTAATCAGGGGAAAGAGCACATGTGCATTCTGAGAACATGGTACTGTTTTTCAATCCATGGACCAGGTTAAAGAGGTATGAAGGTCTT